GCACATTTGTGTCAATTTAATAGTGAACATGAAATTGTTTTGTATAATATATCTCATCATTTGGCCAACTGAAATTCTATATAATAATTCTTGTGGCCCATGAAATGACAAAAGATGACAAAAAAAAGATTGATATATCTGCGGCAAGCGCGTACGGAAGCCACCTATGACTCACACAACCACACTTTTCAGGAACAGGCTTTAAACATTTGTTTATACATTTAAGAAACAAATTATACATCAATCACAGAGAGAGATCCATCACAATCTAATAATAACTATATGGCTCACTGGTACACAGTGCTGACAGAAAGGTCCCCCATGTACATGATGATCATCATAGTTTCTCACAGAGACCAAGATTTTCATATTTTCTACATTTCAATCCATCATAAAATATAAAAGATGTTTTACTTTTATCACAAATCTAGCAACAAATTGGTGGATGAAGATATGGCCTCTCTTTTGATGTGGCATGTTTGATGATTTTGTGCAATTCCGCAAAGGCACGTGACTATTATAAACCATCGATAATATATAATTATTTGTATTGTCTTGACCACACTGTACAGGTATTTTGGCCTTCATTCCATACGACGCAGTTTTCTGTCCAAAAAGAATGGATCAACATACATCGTGTTTAGAGAAGGATTTGGACATGTAGATCAGTCTGTCAGCAAATGTGTTTTTATCATCAACAATTCTGGCAGTCATGGCATCCACATAAATTATGCTGTAATATTATTATGGTGAAGATCAGGAAAAGTTAAAATAATCATATACAATGTATAAACACACCTAACAGTTAGTTTCACCAGTCACATGTAGCAAGCCAACTTCGAACATATTTACTGATGGAAAATTAGGAATATTTACAGTATAAATCAGGAAGTATTTGAATAAATTAAAAGTGATGAATGTATCCCCAATACCGAACACATTAGTTTTCTACTTTATGCTTGACCATTGCACAATTGGGTCTTACCATCACCAAACCCACTCTACAATACGGAACTAATATAAATTGGTGTTTGGGGAGGGGGAAACGATTTTCATTGCTAGGGGGTCCTGTTTTTGGAGACAGAAGGAAGATTTTTATTGCTACTGGTCATTGCNGGGGGGGGGGGGGGGGGGGAATCTCAAGGTACAAGAAATATTGTACAAGAAATGTTGTAGAAGAGACCAGACAATGATGAATTAAATTTGGCAAGAACACCTACATGAAAATTATCACAAACTTTTTGTCAGGAAGATTCCCATTTACTTACGAGGGTATCTGTGTAAGGTCCCATATATATATATATATTTATGACTAGACCTGTAAGAAAAAAAATCCAAATGCTGCATGCTGCATTTGCTAATGACACACATGGTACTGAAATTGTCTGAACATTTGAGCTATGAGGAAATGAAACAGTTCTGTCCTAGTAATATTTTATGTGACTTATTGACCACTGTTGTGTCCTAGTAATATTTATGTGACTCATTGACCACTGTTGTGTCCTAATAATATTTAGGTGACTTATTGACCACTGTTGTGGCTACTACCTATATTGATTACCACTAGAAGACCAGCGGAGACCTTATTCACATTAGTTATGTTCAATATTTGGAATGTAGCTCAATGAAGGGGAATGACGATACAGTAAGCACAGATAAAAACATATTTCCACTCGGATAAATTCAAACCTATTCAAAAGAATCATGAAATTATAACTGGTTTATTTCAAGATTTCCTGTTTGTTTCTTGGTTTTATTATTTTTATCAATTTTTTTTTTTTTGAACATTGTTTTAATCTTGAGCAAAATTGAGAACAATAAAGCAAAAACATAATCGTTCCAAATAACTAAAATCAGACAGCAATATTTTAAAATTTATACACCAAGTGACAGAAGGATAAAAAATACCAATATTGATAAGATATTAAAATCAGCATACATTGCTATGTCAGCAGATTCAACCAGTACAACAGAACAAATAGTAATACAACAAGTGGTCCACAGAGCCTGTATCACTCACCCGTTTGTATTCAATGATTCCACTAAATTGAGACTGGTGGCTTTCTTTATCATAATCCAAATAATTGTAATAACACTTGGTTAGAGCAAGAATTGTCATTGTAATTGTTTGTTAATATCACCGCTGTGATACTTTAAAATAAGTCAAACTTGCTTAAGTCAATCTGGAAAAGTTGAGAGACGGACGCCATGCTATGGCATTACAGCTCACATCACCCAAAGGGCCAGATGAGCTTAACACCTGACTTCTCAAAAAAGATTTTAAAACAAATTCCATGGTATTTCAACTTTGCAAAGAAAACATATTAATTTTCTGACTTCAGTAGAACCTAGCCAGCTTCTCTGTATCTCAGAGCACAGTGAAACATTAAAAAATAAACAACACATTTCTCAATGGTTTTGATAAGTAAAATTTAGGAACTCTTGTCCCTTACAGTCACACTATTGCGTTCTTAAATGCATTAGATGCAGTAAAAAATAAAAGATTGCTAAAATTTCAAAGGAACCATCAATATTTGCTTTGCACATGGAATGCTTTTGTTGTAGAAATGAATTTAAGTGTCAGTTCTCCTTATAATGATAACGAGACTTGAGACTGATTACTAAACACATCAGTTAAGCATGCTGTAGGTGAGAAGATAAAAGCACTTGTAACGAGCACCATGTGCAAAGAGTGAAAGTTTTTTTTGTCAGTCACACTGACCCATAAAACCAAATCTCTTCCTACAATTCCAAAATTTTGACAAAAATGTATTCAGTTGTATCGGTATATGGAAATTTCATCATGTAGTATGGTTTTCACTCTTCTCTTACATGGCTATTATTTGTGGTCTTTCTGTATTGTTTGACCAGGGTAGAAAACATGATTAAGGATAGTTCCTGACAACAAACTGATTCCTGTGACATGGAAAATATCAACAACCATCATAAAATGATTCTACTGTTGTATTGCATACATAATGGTATCCTACTAAGATCTACTTGCATGACAGAATTTGCATCTAGACACTGATGCTGCCTCACATCAAGTTCAGGGGAAGATAACTCCGGTTATAGCACAAGAATATACATTTATAAGATGTCTATTTGATTGGATCTGTCTGAATGACATCATACACACAAGACATGGTTAGGCATATATGGTCACCATCGTCATGGGAGAAGGGAGATTACTCTGTTCCTCTCCAAAAATATTGTTTGCGTATATATGATATGATTTACGTAGGTCACCATTTAGAGTAAACGAAATTGAAAAAAAATGTACTTGGAAGTATATGTACATGATTTATATATATATATATATAGTAGATCAACGTGTATATAGACCATTTGATAATCTCTGTACAAATACGTAGCATGATATTCAAGTGCATTATGATACACAGGTGCATTCAAAATAAATAGTCAAAAATGTCATGCTGGTATTAACGTTAATGGTTATAAATATATGATCAACTATGTCTAATGTAACTCTTGGAAATAATAAAAATAAAACAGACCCTCCTACATTTACCACAAAGGCCACAGTACACAAACACGGGTAGGTAGATGTAGCAAGCAGATCATCCAAAACCTTTACTGGAGTAAAAAAAAAAAAACATCCAGTAAAACCATAGCAACCTGTGATTTGAGTCTGACTAGAAATGCCTTCAGTCCTGGTGAATTACATCTGGCACAGGTAAAAACACACAGGTATCATAGGGAGGGCACTTAAGTACCATACTAGATATAACAGCTGTGATACAAATAGGGAGTGCACTTAGGTACCACACTAGATATAACAGCTCTGATATAAATAGGGAGGGCACTTAAATACCACACTAGATATAACAGCTCCAATAGAAATAGGGAGGGCACTTAATTACCATACTAGATGTAACAGCTGGGATACAAATAGGGAGGGAACTTAAGTAACATACTAGATATAACAGCTCCAATACAAATAGCGAGGGCACTTAAGTACCATCCTAAATTTAACAGCTGTTATACAAATAGGGGGGGCACTTAGGTACCACACTAGATATAACAGCTCCAATACAAATAGGGAGGGCACTTAAGTACCATACTAGATGTAACAGCTGTGATACAAATAGGGAGGGCACTTAGGTACCATACTAGATATAACAGTTGTGATACAAATAGGGGGGGCACTTAGGTACCACACTAGATATAACAGCTGTGATACAAATAGGGAGGGCACTTAAGTACCATACTAGATGTAACAGCTGTGATACAAATAGGGAGGGCACTTAGGTACCACACTAGATATAACAGCTGTGATACAAATAGGGAGGGCACCTAAGTACCATACTAGATATAACAGCTGTGATACAAATAGGGAGGGCACTTAGGTACCACACTAGATGTAACAGCTGTGATACAAATAGGGAGGGCACTTAAGTACCATACTAGATATAACAGCTGTGATACAAATAGGGGGGGCACTTAGGTACCACACTAGATGTAACAGCTGTGATACAAATAGGGAGGGCACTTAAGTACCATACTAGATGTAACAGCTGTGATACAAATAGGGAGGGCACTTAGGTACCACACTAGATATAACAGCTGTGATACAAATAGGGAGGGCACTTAAGTACCACACTAGATGTAACAGCTGTGATACAAATAGGGAGGGCACTTAAGTACCATACTAGATGTAACAGCTGTGATACAAATAGGGAGGGCACTTAAGTACCATACTAGATGTAACAGCTGTGATACAAATAGGGAGGGCACTTAAGTACCATACTAGATGTAACAGCTGTGATACAAATAGGGAGGGCACTTAAGTACCATACTAGATGTAACAGCTGTGATACAAATAGGGAGGGCACTTAAGTACCACACTAGATGTAACAGCTGTGATACAAATAGGGAGGGCACTTAAGTACCATACTAGATGTAACAGCTGTGATACAAATAGGGAGGGCGCTTAGGTACCACACTAGATATAACAGCTCTGATACAAATAGGGAGGGCACTTAGGTACCACACTAGATATAACAGCTCCAATACAAATAGGGAGGGCACTTAAGTACCATACTAGATGTAACAGCTGTAATACAAATAGGGAGGGAACTTAGGTACCACACTAGATATAACAGCTGTGATACAAATAGGGAGGGCACTTAAGTACCATACTAGATATAACGGCTGTTATACAAATAGGGAGGGCACTTAAGTACTATACTAGATGTAACAGCTGTGATACAAATAGGGAGGGCACTTAGGTACCATACTAGATGTAACAGCTGTGATACAAATAGGGAGGGCACTTAAGTACCACACTAGATGTAACAGCTCTGATACAAATAGGGAGGGCACTTAAGTACCATACTAGATGTAACAGCTGTGATACAAATAGGGAGGGCACCTAAGTACCATACTAGATATAACAGCTCTGATACAAATAGGGAGGGCACTTAGGTACCACACTAGATGTAACAGCTGTGATACAAATAGGGGGGGCACTTAGGTACCACACTAGATATAACAGCTGTGATACAAATAGAGAGGGCACCAAATAACTGTAATAGATAGAAGAGTTCTGATACAAATAAGGGGAGTACCGAAGTACCAGGGATTGATGAAGATAATGTAAAATGCCATAGCCTAGCTACACACCCTGTGCTGCCATATGTAATATCTCTGTGGAGGAAGGCTTTTCTGTACCCTATCAACAATACTAGTCTCCTAATTACAGGAGGCATTACAAGGAAAGATACGGGGAGGGTGGGATTCCTAGGCTTCAACACTTGACGATGGAGGGCTTATTCACAATGCTAGGTTTGTGGAAGTACACTGATATTTAGAGAATAAAAAATAAGAAAGAAAAAGAGTATACATGCATGCATATTCAGACTTAGATTTTATCTATGAACTTCTGAATATGTGAAGTTTTTAGAACACTACCAACTCAAGGATGATATTATGATTCACACAGCACCAACTCTCTTATTTCACGAGCCATACACCAGTCATACTGCACCACTAGGACCGCTCCACACCAATGGGTCAATAAACTAATACAATTATACAGCCATCAAGCTTTTGTAAGAAGTTGAGTTATTTAGCTGTCAGTATGGCAAGATGCGTCATGGAAATCAGGTCAACAAAATTTCATCATGGAATGTGGGGAACACATGCAAGTGTGTACCCTGATTTGGCATTATCAATTGTCAGTGTTATAATCTCTATAGGATAAACATATCAACCCCAAGCAGGACTTTGTTGTCAATAATGTTTCAAGTTTAACTTGTAATTTTTCTAACTGGGTTTTAATAATCTCATGTCAAGCGATTGTCAAATTATTCATCGCTGTTAACTTTACCTAGTCGACTCATTATCAGTGGAAAATCTGACAACAGTTGCACTCCGACGGGGACAACTTAACACAGATAATGTCTTGCTTGAATCACATTGTACAGTATTACCTGTATGTCAAGATAAAGGTTTTAACAGGTCAAATATCCATCTCTACAAAGTTTTAAGTCAGTTTTCAACTTTCTCCACATTTTCAAGAAATAGCTCTTTAAGAGCTAACATTATACTGTTTTAACATACCACTCTAAGTGTTATTGTATCTTGTCATATGTCGGTCTCTTTATTTTTAGCATTGTATGTAACAAAAATGATAATAGGCATAATTTAAGGTTGCATAATATCCGTAGATGGTTTAGGATTGTTGAACACAAAATCAGTTCTAGCCAACATGGGGAAAACTAACACTAGGGCAAAGCATCTAACAAAATGAATGGGATTTGCTAACAGCAGCAGACATCCAGTCTTGTGTGGCCTACATGGAATGCGCTAGTCAATAACCTTTTCACTCAACAAAACAATACAAATGTAACAAGAAAACATGATACGGGAAGAAAAATATTGAGGAAGATATAAAGTGTTTATGTCTGAACCAAAGTTCAGCCTTATTACGAAAAATAAGCCAACAAAATCTTAACATTATAATCAAATACTGATGCTTCAAATACCTAGACTAAGTTCCTTTTTCCCTGACCTGCCGTATACCAGCCGTTTTGCTAATACGGCCCTACTTTATTTTTTTCCGTAACCATGGGTACTTGTGATTCTTAACTTACTTTTTGAGATTAGTTACCAGTAACCGGTCATATAGCTTCTTGGTAAGAGTATTGTGAAGTTTAATCATCAGTTCTATCAAGGAAACACCTTTATAAACACAAAATCACATAATTGTGTACAGATAGTAAGTTTTAAACATGATTTCTCCTGTATTGCATGATGAGGTCAATTTTTTGGGAGGACTATGGTACTTAGAATTTTGCCCAAGCACTGGACTAACAAGTGATTTAATGAATATAGAATCATAGCTGTGATGGAAAAAAATTGAATTACGATTTTTTCAAAAATCAAGCAAAAAATTATTTTGTGACATTTTGCCTAGCTTTCATTAACCTACCGGTATACCTGCCCTGGATGTTTGATATGAGGCTGGTAAATTCTACACATTGACAGTCACCACTGCTGATTGCATTAGATGTTTGTTACTGAATGATGGCCGTACATAGAAATCCTTGCTTTAAATACATCTCTATACATATGTGTTCAGATTTGGTCCTTTTTCTCCAAAATAAGTCTGGTCATTCTACTTCAAAAATTTGCAAATAAAAGTACAAGATAATTTTGTCCAAAATACAAATTCTTCAATAAGTAAAAAATATTGCACAGACTAAAAACTCTGTAATCTGCTTTAATCTCTACCCAAAGCAAGACACCCTTGTCTCTCTATATCTTGCAATATCATTGCTGAACTCTGTGTCAGTGCTGTACTGTACCTTTCAGTCAAATGAATGATTGCTGGAATCATTGTTTCTTACTGTTATTTCAAGCCAAATATTCACTTGAGTTACAAAACTTCAAGTTTCCCAATGCCATAATAGACAGTATAACGTGGTGTTTTACCAAACTTCGCTAACACATGCCTTTCTATTAAGATTTTCGGAACAAAATTTCAGTTGTTATAGCCTGCTTTTGAACTTGCACGGAGGATTATTTTACTGGCTAAACATACATTTGAGAAGACAACCCTGGATGTACCAAATACAATAGGCTACCAAGCACAGCACTAGCACAGTACCAATTATGCTGCCAGCACAATAACAGCTGAATTATCATCACTGCATCAGCAACAGCTGAACTGCCAGCAGTAATCCATACATTTACATATGCAAACTAATGGCATTTCCTTATTTGCCAAACAGGAATATATGGATTTTTTTATTTGTTTTCAAACTTAGACCTTAGGTTCATGAGATAATCAACTATGTAGCAAACAAACATTTTTTTTCAGTTATAAGATTTCTCCATATACACGGACTACAGTAGTTCCACTGGAAGATATAGAGATTCAAGGGTAACCATTTTCAGATCTCAGTTCAGATCACAACACATACATAGGATCACAGAAAGAGTTCACAACAGATAGGACTAAATGTGGTCTCTGTATAGTGTACTTGTCATATAAATAACTCGCAAATACATCCATGCACACCAGACTTTACGAGACAGATCACAAATGCCTGACTGTAAACACCTCTTGAGGAAATCTACCAGCTAATTAGGCCACACCAGCAAGATTATAGCACTTACTTGAGTCTATTTCCTACCTATATAACTTAATTGTTTAAATTATTCCACACATTTTGAAGTTTGTGACCTTTGTGAAAGCCTAATGGTCAGTCTTAGTTCATTTGATATGCTGATTGGTGGGTGAAAGATGACTCTTTTCTGACTGGCAATGTCATAGCCTAACAGCAAGTTATGTATAACTGGCAATGTTATAGCCTAACAGCAAGTTATGTATAGCTGGCAATGTTATAGCCTAACAGCAAGTTATGTATAGCTGGCAATGTTTCAACCTTTTTATAGGCCAAGTATTATTATAGCTTTTAATGTTTTAACCTTAGGATAGGCCAAGTATGCCATAGCTGGTTATGCTACAATCACACAGCAGGCTAAGTACATATCATATAGAAGGCTAAGTATAGCTGATTGGTCATACTGATAAGGTTTCTTTGAATGCTGTTTGAAGAAAAAAAAAAGTTAATATCAAGGAAGAAACATATTTTCCACATCAACAACAAGATATATTTATATATTAATTTGCGAAGCAATCTTACGAGATATTTTTGCTTACCAAACTTGGTATTAATAATAACTTCTTCCTCCAAAAATACTGAATATCCTTTCCCTTGCTGTAAAGGGTAATAAATTAATAGTACACAAAACGGGTGTACCGAGTACAAACATGACTTCAATGGGTGATTTGATATGGCTTTGACGATTGGAATCACTCCCATTAGAATAAAACACAGATAAATATATGTATGTGTCATACCTTCATCATATTATAAATAATTTATTCTGTTTGTCACCCATCATGAATCAAATTTTACATAATAGTAATATTGTGTACAATAATAACAAGCTTAAGTCTTTCCATTCTCGGAAATCTATAAATATTTGCACTATTTTCCTCGTCTCAAGGGTGTAAGAACTCCTCTTAACAATATTTTAATATCACAAAATAACAGAAGGCGACACACAAGATTGGCCAACCCTTGTGAGGTCGATGGCCTCGACTAGACTGCCACAACTCTACCTCATACACCTCCTTGTTATATACCATGGTATCCATAGCAACACTTACAAAAGTCACATTTAAAAGTTTTCATGGCAACCAACAACTGGCAACAGTCATTCATATCCATCAATATGAGCCGAGATATGTTAGGCAGTGCAAGATTTTGTCTTCTGCTTGTGTGAGCAACTATCCAGTCACAACTACAGGGTTAAAACCAGACCAGTCAAAAAAGATAAAAATACAGGAGTTATGAAAAAATCAGACCAGATCTGTTGCCTGGTTTACTGTAGACATAAGGTGAAATAGATGAGTGTAAAGTTCCATTAATGTCCATTAGTAGATGTCCTTTTACCAAAGTGATGCTGACCTTCTTACCAATCTTGGCATTAGACTAGCATCCCTGAACTTGGATCTGCTTACCAATATCAGTATCACACAAGATAGTAATGAATAAACATAGGCCTGTTCAAATGGCTGAATATAGGCCCATATTTATCATTCACAAGTGACTCTAGGATTTTTTCCCCCACCCAGTCATCCAATGTCTCTGTTCAGCACCATCCAATAAGGAACCATGTGGCCACAAACTCTGTCCTTGTCAACCCCCATGTACAGCACCATCCAATAGCAGGCCTTCTTCATGAACTATGAACTTTGACTTTGTGGTATGTCACCCAGCACTTGTCAAAGTGGTTTACATAAACAACAGCACCTAATACATACAGGAGCACTTAAGTTGTCTCCCTTTTTTGAACACTTTAATGATAGGGAAGGCTATAGTCATTCTATGTCTGTCCTTGAGTTCAATACAGCTTCAACAATGGTAGTCTGTTCCATTCATTGCCCCATAGTGAGCGGTTATTTTTTAAAGTGAGTGACACCTAGCTGGCCCGCCATGGGAGCTGTTTGGCTGCCTTTGTCATGTGTCTTTCAGCCTCTCCTTGAGTCGCTGGAGACCTGTTTGCACATACAACACTAGGTCAGCTATACTGCTGTTCAGGGTCAGGGTCCCACATGGTTCATCTAACTCCGCAAACCAATCTGTGGACAAAAAACCCCAATTCATTTCTTGCATAACATATACTGTGCTGACAATCTATTTTAGAACTATGAAATATTTTAAAGTAAAATAATATACATGTAATTTTCCAAATTTACAAAAAGTTTAAATGAAACTGAAAGTATACAACGTAAACAATTGAAAACACACTTAACAATGTCTCAATTACATATGGAACGAGATCTTATGTTTGAACTCAAGCAATGCTGCATGAAAACTGAAATGTGGCCTTACCTTTGAACTCATGCATGGCTACATCGGCCTGGTCCCAGAAGTCCTGGCCCATTACCAAGTAGTTGACTGTACCTAGGTACTCCTGGGTTATGGAATGTATGCGGTGGGGCACGCTCACACTACCAGGGGATGACATGGTAGAGAGGGCCACCACTCCTCCACCCAGCTTGGAGGGTGTCACTTCATTGCAGCTTCCCTGTAGGCATACAGACTTAACTTATAATTGAGCAATATCACCATCAAAAAAAGAATATCTTATCCAGTCTTTGAATTTAGAATTTACACACCACAGACAATGGCCATTGTCTATATTATTTTGATTTCTTACTGACCAACTGAAATTTTAAGACCAGACTTTTACCACGAATACAAGAATATTTTATTTCGTACTTGATAACAGGAACATACAACATTATGTGTAATCATAAAGGAAGTAACTACTACATGTATATTCCGTCTTTGCGTATTGCAGAGTTATCTTCTCTTGGGAGCAGGTATTGATTGTTACGTCATTGGTTTGTGCGAGAAAATTACGTCGTTTTCTCAAAAATTGATGACGTTACTCTCACAAACAAGAGACGTAACAATCAATACCTGCTCCCAAGAGAAGATAACTCTGCAATACGCAAAGACGGAATAACTGCCATTGAATAATTTAAGACAATTTTGTCTAAAAAGTAAACGATTCCTATAAGCCTACAGCGTTTTTCATGGTAATTGTCCTTTGGTTAACCATTAAGCTCCAACACTGAACTTCCAAAAAAATAAAAAATAAAAAAAATAGAACACTTATACACCTTTATAAGGTGTTATGCAAAGGTTTTTTTCACCTCGTTTCTTAATTGGAAAATGAGATTGAGAACATTCAGTGAAGGTTTGCTGTACTTACCAGAGAACCATTGGAACCAACACTACCGGATGGGGAGGGGGTGGGGGACATAGGGGATGGGGTGCCAGTGGTACGCGGCCAGTTGGTCTGGTGAGGTGAAGGAGCATGTGAGGGGGCTGGTGGGGCTTTGGATGCCACCTGTAACACAAACAAACAGACCATCAGTGAAATAAAAATAAACTCTACAGACACTTTACATACTACTTTTTAGTTTCCATTACAATAAATATAATACACAAAACATTTCCAAGTTTCATACACAAAGGACAAATTTTACTCCTTTCACCTACCAAATGATCATCAACATTTTCTTTACAGCAGAGTACTTCATATCTTCAAATGTGGTCAGTGATACAGTGAATAATCATCGACATTTGGACTAGAAAATGTCTGTAAAACATACAAAGTTGGCAGTTTAGAACAAAGATTATTTTGTGAAGAGTTGCATCCCTTAGACAGAATAAACTCCTACCTTGTTGTGCTCCTCGATGACTCTTTTGAATTTGAGCGCTTCTGACTTTTTTAACTTGAATAACTTTTGGCATAGCAATGACTGGATTCTAAAACTGCAAAACAAAAATCAAAAACAATTATATTAAACTACTATAACAAGAAAAAGGTGAACATCAATTGCAATATGAAGGACGTTCAAATATAAAGACTGAACAAATAGATACAGAGCTCACATCCATACATGTCAACCAAAAGATAACGTTAATTTCATTTCACACAATAAGCTTATTTATGCAATGAGTTAATAGAAAATGAGAAAAAAACAAAATGAAGGGAATTCTACAGGAAATGTAGAACAAGAGTAGTAGAAACATTGAGTTACTTCCCCTACAACACAGAACCAGATTATTTTGCGAAGAACTACTTCACTTGGACAGAACAGATCCACTACCATCTAAAAATTGTTTTAATTTTTTTCTTCCCCTCTCTATATGTTGGATTGATATTTGGTCATCCGTACATCTATCTTGAGAAAGTTTGATCAAAATGTTACTCTACTGTTTTTGACTTTGTCCTTTTAAAAGTTTGTTATTTGACTTTATTTACTAGAAAAGTAATGTCCTTCCAAAATGGGGCGACTTGGCATGTATAAACATTCAATATGCTCAATTGTCGTTTGCTATATTTTACCAGTACGTGTGTATCTAATGGTAATAGGAGGTAGTGGTATCAATAGTGACATTCACCTGGACATACATGCCTAGATCATCAAAGGAGTGTAGGATACAGCTGCACGCTACCATTGTGGTTTACCTATCTTTTATTTCATCAAATCAATCGCTATGACATCAACACAAGAAAAGGACAAAAAAATAATCTTGGAATTATGGTTTGCTACAAGCCTGGTAACTACAGAAACAATGATAACAGATCAATATTTATGATGCTCAGGAACAATACACTATTAACATTCCAGACTTAGAGGTCAAGTTACTCTGTAAATACCAACAGGGACAGTACAAAGAATGGAACCCATTCTCTTGCTGTACCTTAATACTGCTAGTTTTTTCTCCTTCTCTGACATGGAGTTGTCATTGGTGCTTCTGAACCTACATATATGGCTGAAAGGAAAGAGAGAAAAGGTTAGTTGTAACATGGGTAATTACTGCAGCCTCAGCATTCATGCTGCTCAAAGCTTTTATAATAATTTCAACAAAACTTTACAGAATGCACTTGGAAAATTGCTCTGCAGAAAAAAAAAATTAGAACCAAAATGTATTCATTGTACTTGGAATACCTCCTGCTGCTACAACCTAATAGGCGATTACTCGCTTTGCTGCCCGACTTATAATTGATCATAAGCCGGCATCATTGATTTTCCCCAGCATAGCCCACAAATCTAGGCTCTGGGTACTTAATAGCTTGTATAAAGTCAGTTATAGGTCTGCAATTTCATTAGGAGCCGAGCATCGGGTCCCTAAAAGACAACATGTCTCCTGCTCTGCTGGTGAATGAAGCCACAGGATGTATACCTAATAGGAAAACACACTTGCATCTTCCAGAAATAAATCTAGAGCTCACGTTGACAATAGGCTCTGATCATCTCACTGTGTTGTACACCACTTTAATTTCATTCTCTATCAAACACAGCTTAAAACCACTTCAAATCTGCTGACATCCAGGCTATTACTACTATAGTAATTTAAATTTCAGCTTCACAGGTCAAACAATTTGCACTTTCAGAAAAACCTCTAAGGATTCTAAAGACATTTAATTTCAAAAGTTACATATTGTGCACAAAAATTTCCTTGATAATTATTAATAATTGTACCAACTTGGTTGATATAATAGTACTTCTTATAAAGATCACTTTCTGACAATAATTTTGAACACATAAGCCTTGTTTTTAAAAAGCTTGCCCCTCTTTCCAGGTGAGACAATCAAATAATCAGGAGTGACTTTCCCATGCCATGTTAAACTACTCACGTGATGAGTTTAAAGGTGTCGCGATACATTCGGAACACATCCGATAGATGGTCCCGTTCCATGGCATAGCCACACTGGATAAAGGACAGCACTGCCTCCGTATACATGAGAGATTTAGCCAGCTTATCTGTCTGCTCAAATAAAACAGCAGTGTAAATATTAACAAACAAATCCATCTAAATACCTGAATTCTTTTAACCGAGCACGATTAGGTTAATATGTTCATCATAAATATTGAAAGGTATTTCAATGTTGTAGGGCAAATCTTTTAAATATATCATTGATAAACAAAAAAAAGTTCTGATCAAGATTAAAATTGTTTTCAATAGAAGATTTCCCATAGAATACGTTAATTGTTATAACTTTTTGAACTGTTTTTCACTGATGAAATATAAATGATACTCAAAACATAGCAGTATATAAAATACCCTCTTTACTATGTATACTTGACTTATGATTTGATAAATTAGAATGTATAAGAGTACTTAAATAAATGGAACATTATCAAATGGTTGATAAACTAGGATGTTGGTCATAGATACAAACCAGATTGTCAGCATCGTGCTTGAGTTCCTTGGCTCTGCTGAGGTACACATCTGCTGGGTCCAACCTGCTGGTAAATGTATAGACCTCAGATACAGTAAAAACAAACTACCTCTTCCTTATGAATGTACTTTTATTACACCTAGGTGACAAATTAACACATGTATCATACTTGCCAAATTGTACTATATTATCACGTAATACAATAACAGGTGAACTGTATTAATGACGTCCAAACCAGTGATATGACTGTCTTAATGATGATTAATTTTACTATGTGATCTGCTCTCCATTCACTTTTGTAGATGTTTCTAAGATGTCATCTGACCTCAATATCATACTTATTTTATGTCTTTGTCAAAGTATATTTTTTCATTGTTAAAAAGTTTTGAAAATATTTCCAATAGTCTCCATTGGATGAGAGCTATATACACCCAAGTCAGCTTACAGTATTTGAAATACATGTATCAGAAGTTGAAAATGATAAGGTAAAATATAGAGGACAGCACAAGGAACTGTTCCAGAGACAGCCTAACCAATGATAGATCAGAGAGGTACCATGTGATCATGTTGAACAACCTACCTATCTTCAAGGCGTCTTGGGTGATTGGGCACGTCTCCGTCACCCTCACGGTTGATGGTGTACAAGGTTTCCACAGAAGACAGCTGTCCCTCACCACCAGGTGGCACCCTCAACTGATCTTCCTGTAGAAAAATAAAATAAAAAATCTTTACATTCAAATTTCCTTCTTACTAATATTCAGCAACATTACAGTTCTTTGTTTAAGGTCAATGGACAAGATCAAAGTGTCACCTGTGTATTCCTAAGATAAGGAGGTTTATTCTTTTTTCCCTTCAAATTTTCAAAAACAATGGATCCCAGGTCAAGCTTCAAATATTATTTTAATACTGGGGATACAATATGGTTCTTTCTGCTAAAACTGTAGCAGTAACACATCATCATTCTGAATATATGGCATAATATGTTGCCAGCCAAACACTCCTACACTGGCTACAGGTATGTTAATACTATCAACAGAACATGCCTATGCTGTATCCTACATGACAAACTGGCTCACCTTACAATTTATTTGCTTCATCAGGCATTACTAAGAAACCAAACCATTTTTGGGAATATTTCTGTAACTCTCGAGGAGAAAGTTCCCAGACAAGATATGTCTGCTATAAAAACATTCATAATTTGTAAGATGTGTGGACAAGTTGTAAACTCAACCATTACTTGGAGAGGACCAATGTGCAAAGACTCCTACGTGGCTTAAGGAAATCATTTGTGTTCCCTTGAATAGATAAAATGAATATGAAAATCCATTAAAGAAATATATTGAGGAATAGCGAGACTTTTACAACCCATACACTAATGCATTAACAGCAAGGAGATACAGGGAGACATGAAAGTCTAACAATGAAATGCTGACAATAAAACAGAATTGGAGCTTTACAGCGAGACATTGCTCCCCAAGGGGCAATATCAACCCTACAAAAGGCTCGATCTGCACACTCCTGTGTAACTTCATGCTGTTCCACCAAAACAGCACTGAACTGTCTAACATCAGTTAAAGTGTGTTTTACCTAATGACAATGATGCACAGTACTGACAGCTGGGTCCTAGATAACAACAGACTGTGTGTTCTGTTAAGAACAACAATCATCATCAATGTTAGCTCTTCTATCTACCCAAGACTGCAGTTAAGAACCACCATATAACCTAGCTTTACAGAAAACTAATTATCTGAATCAACGAAACATTATTCTTGTTTAACTCTACCACCTAGTTATGCTAAAGCGAGAAATGTTAATCTGTCTACTCTACAAACTTTTTCATGAATAAAGGCTATAACCAATATAAGGCTGCTTTCTGCCAGGTCTTTAAATAATAATGTAGAACTTATTATCAAAGACTGAAGCTAAGCAACCAGCATTGTACCATTCTGTCATGTCCTTATCTCAATCTACCCCCTATTAAAACCAAACTATGCTAAGAACCAACATCATACCCTGTCTAATTTTATTTACAATTGGTTTTAAAACTAGTTACCACCAAAACCTAACCAAGTGTGGAACACAATGTTACCATCCTACACACATGAATCGGTTGAGGGGTTCATGAGATATCTTGTTCGCCTCCCCCTTGATAGGGATATACTGAAATCAGCAGTAAACAGTCATCTTAACATAAACTAGACAACTTGTACTGTTAAATGAATGCCTGCTTCATGTTGTTCTTTCTCTGTCATTAAAAAGTACCTGTGAATATTATGAAGAAAATGTTGATAGATGGTTGTATGACAAGACAGCAGTTAGAGACCCGGGATAGCAGTCATTGCCCTGGAGCTGTAAAACCGCGTCAGGGATCGAAAGGAACCTTTTCATCAGGTTGTAGGTCATATTGTGACCTTGCGAGGTCAGTCTGTTACTAGATCAATCACAGAGACAAAACCATTCCTACAGGTCCTAACATATCTTACCCTCAGGGGATAGTGGTCAACTGTAAAATACACACATAGGTGGAAATATTCGACCCAGAGTTACATTTATCATTTACTGTGTACAAAAAGAATAGGCTGCCAGGTTAATATTGTTTATGCAGTATTTAAAACACACTCTATTTTGAGAATCTGACCAATACAAAGAGCCTCCAATCTGTCTGATGCTGTGAATTTAGCATAAAAAAGATTTATTCATTGAGCCTTAAATATTGCATTCCTTTATTGTAATGCATAAAACATCTTGAAATAAGTTTAAGTCAGCTACTGAAAAAATGACACAACTGTGATCCATTATATCAAAGTGTTTTTGCAAGACATACAAGTTGGGGGTAAATCCTGACCCCTGTATGTGGCAAGCCTCTAACATTTGGAGGGTCAAAGGCCATTTTTGGGAGGTGCATAGAGAAAGTAGGTGTGGACGCTGTGTGATTGTACAGATCTGTCTATAGTAACACAATTACAAACATCAGTGACCACAACAAGGCACCTTTACAGGATGGTTGCGTGTACCCATTTTTTCAGAGGAATAACTCAATGATCAACCCTATGTAGGCTCCTGATGTCTTAGGTCATTACATTGGTTCTAACATCAGTGATGTACAACAGCCATCATCATCAATTTCTAAACAGCAGAAACTGCATCGATTCAGAAAATGTCGAGAGTAAGATGGCTACATGGATACATAATTGCTGATAAATTGTCTGATGCGTTTCCCTCCAAAAGTCAATAAAATTAGATGTCATGAGATTGAGAAAAAGCCCTGTTAGAAATTCTAATGGAACAAATTTCTTTCAACACTCCGCTAAAATAATGTGAAGGTTGAGAATGTTCTCCCGATAGTTATAACATTGGAAACAAAGCATTTACCACACAGGTCTGAACCACTTATTGGTAACATCTATAATGCAGTACCAGTGGGTGAATGGCAAGGGCAGTGCTGTACATGTTTAATTTAACCAGAATGAAGCGTAGAACAATCAAAGGGATACCTCTTTGTGTTAGCTTTTGATGAAAGTTTTTAGCAGTATAAAGAATAGTAAATAATGCTTTTAATGCTATAAATATGCCACCGATAACTTTATATATGGAAACCTATTCTAAGTATTTGTCACACTGCAGATATATATGCCAATCTCTTATTAGTCAATCAGCCAGTCATAAAGTCCTGAATGACCTGCCTCCATCAGGTTATTAAAGTTCACATGCCAAGGGGGGACAACCAAAGAGGAATAACACTATCTGGATATGACTGCCTCCTGTTATAAATGCAATATAAGCTCATTGAATGCCATATTCCGTCTTTGCGTATTGCAGTTATCTTCTCTTGTGAACAGGTATTGATTGTTATGTCATTGGTTTGTGTGAGAAAGTTGCGTCGTTTTCTCAAAAATTGATGACGTCACTCTCACAAACTAATGACGTAACAATCAATACATGCTCACAAGAGCAAATAACTCTGCAATACGAAAAGACGGAATAGTGTTATATACTTTCTTACATTAAGATAAGATCTGCATCATTTTAATATTGGTTAGCTGACATGCTATAAAAAATGTAGGAGAAAATCTCTGGACAAAAAAAAATTCAAATACTGAAATGAGAGACAAAGGGCAATCACTTTTGGAAAAATTGTCAAATCAAAATTCTTTTAAGGGAGACACAACTTCATATCCTGATTATAATGTATACCAAGTTTCAAAGAGATCGATCGAAAAATGTTGGAGAAGATTGCTTGACAAAAAAAAGTTTATGCCAGACGGACGACGCCATACCATAATACTGTCCTGACGGCGTATAAAAATGCACACAACAATAGCATCGAAAAGATGAAGTCATAAATAAAATGGACAATTGGTGATAACATGTTACCAAACAACACTGACTTGACAGAAACACTGTTATCTCCATCCTGTACTGGTGTCCATGTCCTTCACCCAACAACCTGTTAACCTTTCGAAATCAATCAAAACTCTTATTGATTAAGCGTAGAGATGACTGATGTAACCATCTTTTGTATTTGATTGGTTAACATTTGACAAATTGATATTTCCCACGGGCAGCTTTTATAGAAAAATCACAACAAGATTTAATACCAATGACAATTGGTTCTTCGAGTCTGTAAACACAGGAGACATGCTCTGAATTATCTCTCTTATGACATTAAGACATTCTGTATGAATCTTATAAAATAACGCATACATTGTACTACGGTGAAGTAGCTACAGGAATTATGAAACATTTAAAATGTAGAATAGAATTCAGTGATTCTACCAGATTGAGTAGGATGATTCTGTCATTAAAATGCATTATTTCTATAACGAATTGTACCACTATTCTCAAAATAAAATAAAAATATGTTTAAAATCATCTTTTTCCCTATTTTACAATAAAATATGAACTATCAAATAATAAAATCCAAAACTTCTGATCACTACAAACAAACAACATGACTGCTAGTATATCCATGAATGTAAGTCTAGACAAAAGATAAAGCTGGACAATAAAATGAGGAATAAAACTAGGCTAGCAAGAGTTAGATTTCGAGCAGGTAAGTAGGGGTAATGTTCCCTCTAGGAGTACAGTTGTCATATTAATCAGAAACATGTCTACAGGCCTCAAATATTGATCCCTTAAGGCCATGCCATGCAAGTTTCCGGTGGTCGACACCGCTCTCAACAGGCTTCATCTCTCAGCATCCCTGACCAACAAGACAATCAATTACAGAATTATCCCTAGTGTTGTGGAGTTCACTCTACTTCGGCTCCCATTATTGTAGGCCAGGCAGCTTCGAATCAACCCCTGAGCAATCACCCATTTACCCAATGTCAAATCACAATCAATAGCAAACAAGTCTTTTGTGTCTGTAGCTACTAATGCTATCAAAATTTAAGCAGAAATCCTGCTGTGATTTTTAATGCTGAAGTCTCGTGAAGGGAGCCAATATCTTTCCCAGACATTTTGGCATTAATCTTCCCTTTTTAATGATTTTTTTATTTCTCCACTTGATGTCGGTACCAAGTATCCAATTTGGAATAAGATTCAGATTTTCAGCTCTATAGACATGCAATACATTTTTAGATGTTCGATCATAAATCTTTCAATTTTATCAATTTTTATTATCAGCTTTCTTCCTGTACATGAAAATCACAAGCATGCAATATAATAACTTCTGATATGGAATACCTATGGAAGATATATGTAGCATATTCAATGCATATGGTATTTAATTTAAACGTGTCAGAAATTGTGTAATCTATACAGTTAATGCAGCATTTACAAATTGTTTTATTCTAAATATTTTAAACCATGTGTGTGACAGTATGATTCTATAGTCGTACACCGAGCTGTAATAATGGGAAAGTACATTCTATATAATTATCTATGATTATACAGTACAATTCTCTGGTCTGGGTTAATAAAATCCATTTGTCTGTGATACAGTACAATGATATAGTCTACCACCCAGCTGTTATACACGGTTACTACAAACTATCACCAAGCTGTTATACAGGTTTACTACAAACTATCACCCAGCTGTTATACAGGTATACTACAAACTATCACCCAGCTGTTATACACGGTTACTACAAACTATCACCAAGCTGTTATACAGGTTTACTACAAACTATCACCCAGCTGTTATACAGTGTTACTACAAACTATCACCCAGCTGTTATACAGGGTAACTACAAACTATCACCCAGCTGTTATACACGGTTACTACAACCTATCTCCAAGCTGTTATACAGGGTTACTACAAACTATCCCCCAGCTGTTATACACGGTTACTACAAACTATCACTCAGCTGTTATACAGGGTTACTACAAACTATCCCCCAGCTGTTATACACGGTTACTACAAACTATCTCCAAGCTGTTATACAGGGTTACTACAACCTATCACACAGCTGTTATACAGGGTTACTACAAACTATCACAAAGCTGTTATACAGGGTTACTACAAACTTTCACCAAGCTGTTATACAGGGTTACTAAAAACTATCACCCAGCTGTTATACAGGGTAACTACAAACTATCACCCAGCTGTTATACAAGGTTACTACAAACTATCACCCAGCTGTTATACAGGGGTACTACAAACTATCACCCAGCTGTTATACACGGTTACTACATACTATCACCAAGCTGTTATACAGGGTTACTAAAAACTATCACCCAGCTGTTATACAGGGTAACTACAAACTATCACCCAGCTGTTATACACGGTTACTACAAACTATCTCCAAGCTGTTATACAGGGTTACTACAAACTATCACAAAGCTGTTATACAGGGTTACTACAAACTATCACAAAGCTGTTATACAGGGTTACTACAAACTATCCCCAAGCTGTTATACAGGGTTACTACAACCTATCACCAAGCTGTTATACAGGGTTACTAGAAACTATCACCCAGCTGGTATACAGCTGGGTTACTACAAACTATCACCCAGCTGCTATACAGGGTTACTACAAACTATCACCAAGCTGTCATACAGGGTTACTACAAACTATCACTCAGCTGTTATACAGGGTTACTACAAACTATCCCCAAGCTGTTATACAGGGTTACTACAAACTATCCCCCAGCTGTTATACACGGTTACTACAAACTATCACCAAGCTGTCATACAGGGTTACTACAAACTATCACTCAGCTGTTATACAGGGTTACTACAAACAATCACCCAGCTGTTATACAGCTGGGTTACTACAAACTATCATCTGTGATACAATACAATTCTATAGCCTGGCACCTATCATTGAAAACAAATATACATTTTGGTGTTGCATGATACAGAATGAATTATCCAAGGGCCACTCAACACTGCTTGAAACAGGAGAGAGGGAAATAGCCCACTTTGTCCATAGATTCTATCCCCTATAACTAGATTAAAGGATTGGTATTAGATGTCTGATTATTGCTTTTATAATCAACTAGACAAGTACTTGGACTAGTTTCCTTTAAGGCAGCACGCTGATCTCAGTCTTTGAAGGATATAATGTTACCTCTCTGTTTGTTGTTTGTTTTATGTGCCAGACTATGGTGTGGTGTTTCCTTTACAGAATAATCTGGGTCACTAGAAACCTTTCAGACAGTTCTCCGTACACAAGTATCAAATTTCTCAACCAAATTACACCAATGGTTAAATGCAGTAACGCTAATTAAAATACACTTATTTCTTTGATGGATACACATTTACTACAATGATATTTATTTGTTCCTAAATACCTAATTAAATCAGAATTTGTTTGTTATAAAATCATTATGAGGCACATAATCTATAAATGAAGAATTAGGATGTCATTAAATAAAATATTTCTTTCCATAAACAATCACTCTAAGTTAAGATGTTTGAGCACATCAAAATTTCCTATATATAGTGCAGTCAAGTCAAAAGTCATCATACATCTTTGTTCTTACTTTTGTAAAAACTGATTAACACAGCTTTTCCATATTTAGCATTCCTGAAAAACGGAAGTATATATATAGTAGTACTTGAATGTCTATTTGTGAGCTATATTCAACCGTCAGGGCTCGGCTGTTATTTAAGCATGGTTAGCTAATAAATTGTACCCAAAATTTTAAAAAGGCAATTTTTGATTACTTCCTTGAAATTTACAATATTTTTGAATTCATTGTATTCAGACAGCACACTAATCCATCTAAAAAATATTTTATTTTAACTTAAATGTCCTTAATTAAAAAAAAAAAAATGAATACCCTAGATTCAAAATCTAGCATCCAGATGTTGTTAAGCTAATACATTTTGAACAAATGATTCCGGAGTCACTCTCAACAACGTAAATCTATAACTGGCAAGCTGGGATGATTATAATCAACTAGAGATTGACTATGTACACAACGGAGATAAGTACGTGGAGAGCACACGACTTGCAATGTCAGACATCTTAAAGTTCTGTAGTACAGATATGTCAACATCATATTTACATACTTATCCAGGCCTTGTCTGACCAACAACAGAAAAGATAGCCTGTCCTATGTAACAGCTACACACCAACCACACAGGCTAATAATCTAATCTAGCTGTCGCCCTGACCTTGATTGAACAGGGTGAAACAGACACTTAACAGTCCGTCCCTGTGCTGATTATATACACTGTATTTACATTTTATTTTTGGTTCCTTATGATGGAAAGCAAAAGATAATCAAGAGTATTCTGTTTAGATCACTGGAGTGATTGAATGGAAACTTTTTGTAAGAGTTATAACAATGCTGTATACCTTGGACCAACTGCTGAGTGTAAAGGACCTGTCAGATAGAACTACTGTAGGCTTTTACAATGAATGCTGCTGTTGACTTGTTGAATGTTCATTTTTGTATTTGATGAATGAAAATCAAGCAGATGTTGGTACCTTGTTGATATGTTGGTACCTTGTTGATATGACGTGTGTGTAGTTTGTCCTATGTATGGAAAGTGAAGCAAATGCAATATGAAAACTTTTCAATTTTCATAAAAGTTACAAGAAAAATCCCTGTCATTTCACACTTCCTTTACCTGTCAGCGTATCAAGGTTAATCTTAACATCTGTATATAATTGGGATGTTCCCTACAATGTTTGTTTGTCATTTCAGTTTTATTTAAATGTTAACATTACTACTTTCTCCTGTCAGGCAAAAATATAAATCCTAATACAAACTGTCCTAAAAGGCAAACTTTCACCTACTATCTACCATATGTTTCTCACCTTGTCATCGAAGTCAGACTTGCTGGCCTCCTCCATAGGCTGAGACTTGTGATGTATTGGGTTGGCATGTTTGTTGGCATTATGATGACTAGATTCACTGACGTTAGATTGGCTTTCACCACCACTATTTGATCTTGACCTAGCTGGATGTTTCCTGTCCCATTCATGATCATCGGTGTGACTTCGCTTTCTAGAACAAAATTTAGCAATGAAATTATCTATCTCCAAACCTTATCCATATTTCACTCCAGACACTCGACAAAAATTGGATTTTGTTTTGTCAAATTCAATTTTTGTATCAGGAAGGACAGATAAGAATTAACATGGCAACAAGATTTAAGCTTGATCAAAAGTAACAAGGTTACAGCAAAGAGGTACATGATACACCCAGCACAAGTTGAGTTAAATAAAGGGGCATAACTCCATAATTACTGTCAGATAATGGGGGTTAACAAACTCATACAAACTTTCATCGTAATTATACGTTGAGAATTACTCAAGATATCAAGCGAACACAGGTTCAGCAATTTAATCAAAGGGACATAACTCATTAAATTACAATGGTATAATTGCGGTTAAAAAGGTTGTCAAGAGTTTTCAGGGTAATTAACCTTACTATGAAGTTTGAAGTTAATCCATTGAAAACTGCTACAGATATCAAGCAGACACTGCGCACTGTGTGATAACCTTATACGACCTGCCTTTTGATGGGTGAATACAATTCTTAGAGGTAATATGAAGAGTTCTGAAATTTGTAGAAGAATTTCCATATTGTCTACCGGGTAATTCAATACAATTACTATGATCAATCTTGACAACATACATCAGATATATATTATAAAGTTTAGATTAACATACCTTAGGTTAGTATCACCATCATGTACAAGGGAATTTATCCACACATCCCCTTTACACAATTATACTTACCAAACACCTAAATGCACTGTTATCCATTTGAAATCTAATCCCTAGCTTTCCCAGAATCAAACACAACATTCCCAAAGGGAGAAGCACTTACTCCTTTTGACTGGAGTCCTGATTTGTCTTTTTGTGGTGACTAGACCTATGGCTGCTGCCTTTTTGACGTTTGCTGCTTCCTGCTACCACATCTCCGTGGTCTGCCTCTGACTTGCGTTTTTTGTGAAGTTTACGGTGACTGTTTGCAACACTGTTAGAGGACTGATGTGAAGAGAATGAGGAGTCCAATTTACTTTCTGGCGTACCGAGATTCAACTCATCGTCAATCAGTTCCTTGGCAATTTCACTTTCTGAATCCAAACGTGGTTTTCTTGATTCACTACTACTGACAGGTATATCAGAACTCGAAGTCTTCCTCTTACCAATAATGTCTGACTTTTTTTTTGCCTCTATAAAGTGACTAACTAAAGCCCAATCTAACCTTACAATGATACTTGGCCGGCCATCCTTGTAGGAAAGGGCATCCAGTATCTTAGATTTGTCCTTGTCCTTCTCTGGAGAAGGAATTATCTTGGGTTTTTCTGGCACAGTTGGTAAAGGAGAAAGCAGTGTGTCACTTCTCCCAAACTCCTCCAAAATTTCATTCATACTATTCTTGTCAAAACTTGTATTGCTATTATTCATTTTTTCGTAGGGTTTCATTGGTGCTACCACAGCGATAGGTGGGGCTGGTGCCTCGCTCACCTTATGTTCCTTCACATCTTTTTCCTGATTATGTTTCATAGCACGACTTTTCTTTGAGGACTTCTCCTTAGAGGAAGAACGAATGTATTTTGGCGGTTTAGTTTGACTACTACTTCCACTAGACTTGGTTTCTGACTTGCTATCCTTTTTGCTGCTTTTAGAACTTGAAGATTTCTTATCCTTGGATTTGGAATCATTTCGATTGTATTTCTCCTGGTGAAAGTCAAGTTGTGTTGACACTAGAGAGACCTCCTTTGAATTAAACTTGGTGTTAGGGTCAACACTTTTTTCTGGCGTAACACTGAGGACGTCTATCTCCATATTTTCATCGTCCTCGTCCATGACCATTCGTATTGCTGGGAGAGTTGGAGGCACCACTACCTCCTCCTCCTCGTCCTCACTGTCCGTGTCAATGAATGCCTTAGACTTGTGCACCTTGGAATTTTTCTTTCTCTGATCAGTGTGAGGCATTGGCACTTTTTTCTTGGACTTTTCCTTCTTAGAGGAATCACTAGGGGGACGTCCTTTGTTACTGGTCTGTTTAGAAGTACTTTTTCCACTGGCATGTTTCGATCCTAGACCTACAGTGGAAGCACCGGGTGATTTACCAGAATTTCGTATATTTGCCTGGTTATTACTGGGAACATTTTTATTTTTAAACTTTGTCACAATTTTGGTTATACTATCGTCTGTGTCATTATCAGAGTCATTATCAGAGTCATCATCATCATCATCGTCATTATCGTCATCCGCATCACCATCTTCCTTCAGGTCCGGTTTGATGAATTCGTTGAGGATGTTGTCGATGACCTCATTGTTAGGATCCTCTTTGTAGGGACTGGACCTGACCAGAGAATTGGAGGTCAGGGTTGGCACCGAGGAAGTAGCTGTAGGGGGCATGAATGTCCCCAGTGCCCAGCTCGTCTTCTTCTGAAACACAAACAAACAAGATTCAGACAACAACAAATACAGCAACACCTCATATCACTTATCGCACCTCCGACAGAATTGTGGCATCTGATTGGTTAAAATCGGGTCACATGGTAACCTCCTAAGGACTATAGGGGGTCAGTAAAATTTCTTAGGGGGCAATATGGCAGCCCTTGTCTGTCGCTTCGAAATTTAAACAAATCAGGTCTAAAATACGCCTTCCCAAATATAGCCGAATGAACACCTTCCTGTGTATTTTTTCGTACAGAAACGTCCTGAAAAGGTTAAAAACGTTTCAAAACTTTTATAAGAGTTGCCTCCCATACGCCAGTTGAAAATAGTTGACCTCACGCTTGACATGACGTCACATACTATTTGAAAGCGTCTCGGCGACTCAGCTTGTTGACAAATATGGTAGTTTTGGGCAGACGACCAGAGCAGAAATTGACGAAAAAAAAAAGAAGAAGATTCATGCAGAGAAGACGTTGAAATGTAACAAGGTCACAGTCATGAACTTTGGGATTATGTCGAAGGACTTTATTGGTTGAGTATGCATACCAAATATGAAGCTTTCTTTAACAGTTCAAAAGTTAGAGACAGTTTTTAGATTAATTGCAGACACTTGAGAAGGACAAAATATGTCCCAGGTGTATCAAAAGGAGGTATAAAAAGGCCCTGGGTGATAAATACGTCATATAGTTTGTTACTGATCTTCTATGGAACCCTAGAGAATCTAGGAGACCTATCACCTTTTATATCTAAGCAAACAAAATAGAACTTTGTTGTCTCCAACCAAATATGGTACCGTATGTGAACTTCAAAAGCTTAAAGCTGGAAAAGACCTAGAGAACAACCATATGAAATGCAAAATGAAATACCCAGCATTGTTTTAAAATTTAATTTTGACAGTTATTATATAAGGTATACTTTTCCTACAATCGGAAATCTGTACCACATGATGGTTTCTGAAGAACCAATTTATCTTGGATTTGGTAAATAATTTCACGTGAAAATCACTAGTTATTCTGACATTGTCAATACCTAAATTAAATGTATCAAAATGAGCAGTAGTCATGTATTGATCTCCTTACATAACAGTGTGTACAGATCATTCTTTTCTCATATAAAAACCTTTTGGCTTTATATTGAAATATGAACTGGCTGATCTAAAACAGTTCTATAATCCCCAAAGGAATAGTTGTTATGTGAAATTGATTTTACTTGACTGCAATATTTTGACTTTTATTCTAGTTTCACAGATACCATTATAAACTGAAGCAGGTCATGGATCAATGTATCCGACACCTATCCGTGGGGACCCCTCCATAGCAATCAATACTACCACCTCTCCCCTATCACGGAATTCATCTTGGAAAAGCAACAAGGCAAAAAAGGCCATTCTAACAGTAAATAATAAAATAGTGGTATATCTGATGCATGACAGATACAAGTTGAAGATTGATAACAAAGTATAAAGGTTGTGGCCAACTCCGTGACACAATTAACCTTGCCGTCACACTCGGCTAAACTCACTTTTCTTTTGTCTTTAATTTTTATCAGATAGGAAAAGGGAATGTTAGTGTTGGTATCACAAATATTTAGGAAATAATCTCCCAAGAGAGCAAACACTACGTGAAATAAACGTGTATTTTAATGTAAATCATATAGATATCTCCGTCAAATATCAAAACAAAATAAATAATTTATAGAATGATTTTATCTTGCTTGTGGTAACTAAAGCTGTGAAGTAGGATATAATCAGCCTCTTTGATCACAGAGCACCTGTTGATGTTACATGGTAATAAAACAATATTAATACATCATAACAGTACTTATCCTTGGAACTTGGCCACTAGAAATAGGTTTCAGTTCAGTTGTTACAGTAAGTGGGTTTGATTGGGTAAAGCTGACACATGTTTAAGATGGTTATCAGTTTACAAATCTCAAGTATACATTTACATAAAAATAAATAAAATACTTCAACATTCATTACAATTCCTAAACAGCTAATATAATTTTATAATACAACAACTCACAATTACAATTTTTTATGATTATTTACACTGAATTCTATTAAAAATGCTTATGTAATCAGGAAATTTACACACCAAATAATATACATAAAAACAAACTTCTAAAACAGAAATGCTATCTTTAATGCAAGTGTGTAGTGTTTGCAGGGGAGTCACACTGTTAGCCCAGACCACCCTCTCTGGAGATGCAGCCTGGCCTTCATGGAACTCATGGGCACTTGGGGACCACCCATACACTGGCACACCCCACAGATTTGGGAGGCACAATCACTAAATACAAAATGTAACTAATACACTGTCTTCCACCTCTTAGGGAACTTATCCTTATATCCTAAACATCGTTAAAATTTATGATTTAATGTGTTTTAAGTATTTCTATCATTATGATTAGGTCTGTGGGTGAGATTGTATCACATTTATCATCAGAACTTGAAGATAAAAAAAATGCACTTAATATTTCATTATCATGGTGGATGTAATCAATGATCTCAAAGTAGAGGTTCAATCTACATTGTTGAGCTTAGTACCTTAAATATTTGTCAAACATATGCATCAAAATTTTATTATAATTAAATCAACACTGTTTCCTGCACTTAATGTCTGTTGGAAACCTAGCAATTTCTCCAATGCCATGTGGGATTCTAAAAGGGCGAAGAATTACTGTAGTGTGGTGTATGGGTATGATATCTAATGTTTCAAGGCACCTCAGGACAACAACAGGCCCAGAGGGCCTGTACTGCTAAGCTAGATATTAAGCAATCATGTTGATATATTTGAAATAAACAAACTATTTGAAAATCAAGTATGGTAGCTAATCTGATATTTGAAATACTGTAACAGTACTTGAAATATTCTCACCTGTTCCTGTGGTGGGGGAGGAGACTTGATTGGTGGGGTTTTGGGTCTTTCCGTCTTTTCAATTTCATCTTGGTTGTCGGCCTCGGAGCCGGGACTATCACTATCTGAGCCACTGGTATCTGATTCCTCCTCCGACTCATCACTGCTGGACCCACTACTGGATGTGAACATCGGATCAGATCTGGAAGACACAAATGAAACACATGTCTTTACCAATACTTGGCAATACAACTATATAACCCTACCAAATTCAGATGGCACTCATATCAGCTAAGAAAGCCATGGCCCAATTCTTAAGGACATCATTGTTATGAGATCATTATGGTAATGTTGAATATAAATATCAATGCCAAAAATAGCTGAATGTTGTTCAAAACATGACTGCTATCAAAGAATAAACTTTGATTGTGTACCTTTCAAGTTGTGACTAATTCCAAAAAACAGCTACCCGTAAAAAGATGTTTATGTGTTACAGTATGGTAATATATACCCTTAAATTTAATCCGGATCGAAATCACTTTTTATACTTTACTAATTTAGTAGGTTTAGAAATCTAAATTTTAACAATGTGAAATTAAATATATAAAAAAAAAAAAAAGGGGGGGGATGCTAATCAATAGTTATGAAGATTTGTTCAGTCATCCCCATGTTGTGGAGGTGACCATCTGGGCTGAGAAGCCAGGGTACAGGAAGTGTAGTAAACCCCACATGTTTGTGTATGTACACAGCCAATACAGGTGACAGGTGTAGCTACTATGTTCATGCCATCAGTACAACTTTTTTTGTATCTTTCGCTCCAATCAAAATAACTCATCATCAGACATGCTTGCTGTGCTAATTATGTACCAACAGAAACAGAAAAACATGTTCGTGTTGTGCAACATTATAGCTAAGTCAGCATACTTAACCATCAAAGTGTTATATCACATTACAGCTAAGTCAGCATACAGTAGCATCAAAGTGTTATATAACATTACAGCTAAGTCAGCATACGGTAGCATCAAAGTGTTATATAACATAACAGCTAAGTCAGCATCGGTAGCATCAAAGTGTTATATAACATTACAGCTAAGTCAGCATACTGAACCATCAAAGTGTTATATAACATTTCAGCTAAGTCAGCATACGATAGCATCAAAGTGTTATATAACATAACAGCTAAGTCAGCATACGGTAGCATCAAAGTGTTATATCACATTACAGCTAAGTCAGCATACTGAACCCTCAAAGTGTTATATAACATTACAGCTAAGTCAGCATACTGAACCCTCAAAGTGTTATATAACATTACAGCTAAGTCAGCATACTGAACCATCAAAGTGTTATATAACATTTCAGCTTAGTCAGCATACTGTAGCATCAAAGTGTTATATAACATAACAGCTAAGTCAGCATATGGTAGCATCAAAGTGTTATATAACAACAGCTAAGTCAGCATACTGTAGCATCAAAGTGTTATATAACATTACAGCTAAGTCAGCATACGGTAGCATCAAAGTATTATATAACATTATAGCTAAGTCAGCATACTGAACCATCAAAGTGTTATATAACATAACAGCTAAGACAGCATTCTGTAGCATCAAAGTGTTATATAAAATAACAGCTAAGTCAGCATACTGTAGCATCAAAGTGCTATATAACATTACAGCTAAGTCAGCATACTGTAGCATCAAAGTATTATATAACATAACAGCTAAGTCAGCATTCTGTAGCATCAAAGTGTCATATAACATTATAGCTAAGTCAGCATACTGAACCATCAAAGTGTTATATAACATAGCAGCTAAGTCAGCATACTGTAGCATCAAAGTATTATATAACATAACAGCTAAGTCAGCATTCTGTAGCATCAGAGTGTTATATAACATAACAGCTAAGTCAGCATTCTGTAGCCTCAAAGTGTTATATAACATAACAGCTAAGTCGGCATACTGTAGCATCAAAGTGTTATATAACATTACGGAGAAGTCAGCATACGGTAGCATCAAAGTATTATATAACATTATAGCTAAGTCAGCATACTGTAGCATCAAAGTGCTATATAACATTACAGCTAAGTCAGCATACTGTGGCATCAAAGTGTTATATAACATAACAGCTAAGTCAGCATTCTGTAGCATCAACGTGTTATATAACATTATAGCTAAGTCAGCATACTGAACCACCAAAGTATTATATAACATTACAGCTAAGTCAGCATACTGAACCATCAAAGTGTTATATAACATAACAGCTAAGACAGCATTCTGTAGCATCAAAGTGTTATATAAAATAACAGCTAAGTCAGCATACTGTAGCATCAAAGTATTATATAACATAACAGCTAAGTCAGCAGACTGAACCATCAAAGTGTTATATAACATAACAGCTAAGTCAGCATTCTGTAGCATCAAAGTGTCATATAACATTATAGCTAAGTCAGCATACTGAACCATCAAAGTATTATATAGCATTACAGCTAAGTCAGCATACTGTAGCATCAAAGTATTATATAACATAACAGCTAAGTCAGCATTCTGTAGCATCAGAGTGTTATATAACATAACAGCTAAGTCAGCATATGTTAGCATCAAAGTGTTATATAACAACAGCTAAGTCAGCATACTGTAGCATCAAAGTATTATATAACATAACAGCTAAGTCAGCATTCTGTAGCATCAAAGTGTTATATAACATTATAGCTAAGTCAGCATACTGAACCATCAAAGTGTTGTCAAACTGTGCCAATTTAACAGCAGGTCAGACTTTTATGTAAACATAGAAAATATGGATTATCCTTATAATGACTAGAAAATGTCTGTAAGACATAAATGCCATTGTAGTACAACCATTCACCATAGAGCCCATTGTAGTACAAACATTCATAAGACGAAGTAAAACCATAGGACACAGTATCCAGAGACAACCATTTCTTTTGAAAAATATCCTAAAATTTAAAGATTTTCATAGACAACATTCATTTGTAAAGGCTATATATATAGATCTTCCTGGTTTTACTTGGAAAGTGTCCAATAAAAATATACTAAAATGCCTCATAAATCTTCGACAGACATGATTCTTTACTTAAGTTTATACACCAATTACCTGGGGTAGCCTCAGTCATACAGATACACCACTGCCTCATACAGATATGGCTGTTATACATAAATATTTCCTACACACTTTAACTTGCACATTTAAAGACATAACAAACGAACAAATTCACACACATCCTATACAACCATAGCCAATATTCTACTTGTAATTTTCATGGTTTAAACATTATAAAACACTTGAACTGCATGTACAAATCAATCAAAATTAACCTCAGCCAATCTGCCTATTTAATTACCACATGACTTTCCACCACAGCCTTGAAACCAGTCTTTTATATACTAATAACCATCTTTTTTTACTTTTGACAATAGCTGTTCTCCTCGTCCTAGAAACAAGGGTCATTTTTCAACTGCCATAATATACGCTTTTGTTAAAAGTTGATGAAATAATGATATTTGTTGTTTCACTCTTTAACTGTAGGAGGTGTGGAAAAGTAAATAAAGGGCCATAACTCTTAATATAAACCAAAACAATGTGGTCAACAATATTCTTAATTTCATAAGACAGGTAATAAATATAAGGTGTTTGCAAAGTTTCGTTGAAATCGTTGCCATACTGTAGAAGTAAACAAGCAGTAATCTCTTATATCAATCAAAACAGAATGTCTGTTACACATGCAAAGGTCAGTGAGTATATAGGAGGGGTGTGAAAATTCACTTCTTTAGCAGCTAGAACAAAAATGTGCATAACGAAAGACAGATTCAGTTTACCGATCCCTCAATCCTTATTCCATTAGAAGTATCAGTAATCAGTCATTTATTTTTTAATAAGAATGGCAAATAAATTCCTGTAAAATAATCTTCCGTCTTACACCTTGGTTTAGTTGTCCAATCAAAAATTAGAACAATGCATGTATAAAGTAGCTATTAGCGCAAAGTTAAAAGCATGGATTTTACCTGTGGCAGAAACCAGTTGAATGTATCAATTTTTGAGTTACTTCACAATGAGATTTTTAAACAGTTATATAAACAACTCAAATGGTTGGACATTTGAAATACATATATGATTCTTCCCTTGAGCTTTATGGCCATTGGAAGGCTATCCAACCGTTCTTGACTGTTTATCCATTACGTAAAACCCCACAATAATGCCAACCAAACAAATATTCAAGATCATAGGAAACAAGTGACATTTTGGTTCAGAAACAACACACACACACATCAGATCTGACAGATCAATGACAAAATAAACGGATTTCTCTCAGAAGACCCATGACTTGGTTGTCTAATATGTTTTGGTCTGTTAGAAAGTAAAGATAAACGGATGATTTATCAGGCTTTTAATACACAGTAGCACTAGAAGCATCCTGATTGCACGGAACGACCCCCTGCTGCGAACAGCTAACAACAAGTCATGTCTATCAAACAAGATACTTGTACAACATAGCCTACAAGGTTTAACGAACACCAACAACATCATTTCCTCTTTTATAAATCAATAACAAAAAATCATAGAACTTCATTTTTTACACATTTATTTTGTTTTAAGGATAATATTAATATTACTCAAAAAATGAAACTATGGAAAGACCCTGTTACCACTAGACTCATTTTCTCTTAACCACATTAGATATAACTATAACATCAATCAGAAGTATTGGTACTCGGATACTTTTGTATTCCGTGTGTAATGAGAAAGGAAAAGGTTTAATGTTGAATATAAACTCATCAAGTGTTTATTGAACAAATCAATTTTCAAATATGTTGGTTGTATTACATTTGAACAAGTATAGATCATTTATAGTACAGGCTTGTAGACAAACGATATACACTACTCAATATCAACTGTCCACATCAGTCTGAGTTAAGTACCAACATTGATTACAAATCTTCAGACACAATCAATACAACTCATAATAAATCTAATCAACCGATCAGGCCATGTTACCCACACTGCTGGTGAACAATTGTGGCCTCTGTCCCTGAAATTGATGACATGTCCGGGTAAAAACCTCGCTGTTTGTTGACTCAATCTGACACGTAACCTTCATGTTCCAGTAGGAGACATGTTTACTTCTAATTCCTGCAATGCCACCTACCAGCATAACACAACTGAAGCCATTATACGTTTATTTGTTGAGGA